ACTAACACGCTGTACTGATAGACAGCGCAAACTATTTCAGATCATCTGGATCTTTGATGATGGCATGAAAGACAGGTCATCTGAACTGGTGACTCATCCGAATCCTTCGGGAGTTCGATCAAGGTAAAACAAAGCTGTGTTCCTTAAATCTCTTCTTTAACTGCATCCTCAATCACGTTATCCAGGATCTATAATAGAGGTTGTATATCAGATACCGGCTTGAAGGTTCACTTTTCGACCTGCGATGATTCACTGCAAAAACAAAGACACTGGAAGTTCTCATCCGGATTAGCCCTGTTTGCTGATGACTGTGCACTCATGTCACACAAGACAGGTGACCTGCAGACAATGATCAAAACATTTTCCGAAGCCTACAAGTTATTCGGACTCACAATTAATCTTGACAAGACTGAAGTTTTTCCAGGTAGACATAGACTCCATTGCAGCATAGCTAGTCATCAACACTGACGTCATTCAACCGAAAATTGTGGACAACTTCAAATACCTAGGCTGTGTCACCTCCAACGAAGGGTTGTTTGATCAGGAGATCAGCGCAAGGATCAATAAAGCCAATCAGTCACCCGGAAGGTTTCGCAACAGATTACTCGAATATCACAATGTTACCTATCCAGTGCGTTAGAGTTGAACAATGAAGTAGTCCTCACCTCCCGCCTTTCAGACTGCGAAATCTGGAACACATACCACAGATACACCAATCAGCAAGCGAAATTCCATATGCGGGCTCCAGGCTCTATCACTAAGATCCAATGGCAAGATAGGGTTACTATCCTCGAAATTATGGATAAAGCCAAGACAAAAACTTTCGACGCTGATGAAGGTCCAACTTTGCTAGTCCCCCCATATTATCATAATGGATGGCACCTTCTTCCAGAGACATGGGAACTGGGGCATGGAGAAAGAAACCAAGACCGACCACTCAAGCCTTACAAAGACACCCTGCAATTTTAGATCCACTATTTATTATTATTATTATTATTATTATTATTATTATTATTATTATTATTATTATTATTATTATTATTATTATTATTATTATTATTATTAAAAATAATTCGGTATATTAGAATAGAGAGAGGGGATGTTCTTTGTGACCCAAAATAATTCATCAGGTAAATCGCGAATTGATTGAATTTTATTAATGAAATCAATTATGACTTTGATACAAGAAGGTATCTATTTCAATAACGGTGTGATGTGCTCGCCCACAATACTACTGATTTTGTCGGCGAATTGTTTGTACTAATAATTGGCCTTCAGAGGATATTTCCTGGAATTAGGCATTAGTGTATCATACGAAGGAAATATAATCTCGGAGTACAGATTTTGTTGCTGCTTAGATTAAGAAAAACCTTATGATCTAATTCCTATTTGTTATGAATCTGTAGTACGATGTTTTTCATAATGTTTTGGTGCATTTCTATGAAATCTTTCCTCAATTTCTGGCAATATAATATTCATCATTTAGTTGTATGAAGGCTTCTCTGAGGTAATCATCAATATTCACCCTTACAATGGTTGAGCCTTTATCGGGGAGTGTAATCACAATATTTTCTTTATTGCTAAGTTCATGCAGTGTCAGGTCTACGTTTGTCTTCTTTTCTGTTCAAAGTTAAGCATTTATAATTTTACCAATTTGCAGAACATCTCAATATATTCGTTTTGTCTGGTCGGAGTCCATGTGCTTCTTTGTTTGAATTGACTAATTATTTCATTTTCGAAAGAGTCTCATCATCTTTCATTGGTTTATAATGAAGAAAGTTTCATTTGTTTGGGTTTTTTTTGCCAACAGAAATTGTCTGAATTCCGTATGAATTTCACTACAGTAGAGTTAAAAGACAATCCTTGTTTAGGATTGTAATATGTGGCGTAATGGGAAAGCTGGAAAGATGTATGACATGGAGAGAGAGAGAGAGAGAGAGAGAGAGAGAGAGAGAGAGAGAGAGAGAGAGAGAGAGAGAGAGAGAGAGAGAGAGAGAGAGAGAGAGAGAGAGAGAGAGAGAGAGAGAGAGAAAGAGAGAGAGAGAGAGAGAGAAAGAGAGAGAGAGAGAGATGATTCTAACTCAATGAACCAGCATCGTGTTCGAGAAAATAATTAATTTTCTGAAAAGAAATTTTTAAAAGTGCACTAGACTACGATGAAAGTTAATCTAAGCGACTAAACAAATTATCTAGAATATATCTCTTTTTCTTCTATCATATTTAGACCAACATACGTTGTGTACAATGCCAGTCACTCCGAAATAACCCTTACCACAGTTTGTATTAAACTATTTATATAGACGTTTCCTTTGTCTTTATACTGCTAAAGGTTACCCTTACATCTTAATATATCAATTCTTGTCGATTTCCTTGCGTATTACTTTTACAGTTTAAACAATCCACAAATATATCGTATTTTACGTATTACATGAAATATGTTTAATATTACAATTTGTATCAATTTGCAATATTTTACTGCCTGGATTAATATTAAAAAGCACACAGCTGAAAACCATTAAATTCACACGTAAAACAAACAGGTTACTTCATTTCTAGTAGATTTGATATCTCTATGAAAAGTCCATTATGTTTTGTTTTTAATTCCTTAACCAAAACGTATATTCCTAACTGGTTATTAAATATTTGTTGTAAATCATTAAATTTCGTCTAGCATACATTTATGTAGATGTTAAAGGTCTGTTGAAATAAACAATGAACGGAATTATTTCTTGTGCTTTATTGCGAATATTTATTATTTTTAATTATTTTGATTTCATTTACCTAAGTTCTCTGATTTTGTAAAATCTTTCTAGTAGTCCAACTTAAAAGCACTATACAAACGTCACGATATTTTTGTTCATGATTACAGATTCTTCTGAACCTTATGTTTTGCGATTTAAGGATACTCATACACGTATGTCGTGGATGAAACATTTTTAGCGACTGATCAGTGTTATTTTCCTTGATATAAACGGTAGTATCCAGTTTATCTCCCTCTGCACCTTATTTCCCACTCAAATTGTAACCTCTAAGAAGTTTATGCTTTCCTTAATTGTTTGTTTTTAAATTGAGGTATGGTAGTAAATCATGCAATTAAATCCTTAGTTCATCCGAATGGTTACAAATGAAGAAAATGTGTAAGTTTGTTAACTGGTTGAATGTTCTAAATCAGAGTACCGAAAACCTTAGATAAGCTGTGTAATTTTTCTGTTTGTGAAATTACAGAGTGGAATAAAATAATCATTTGGAGGAATTTAAAATGTAATTTACAATTCAGTTTTGAAATATACAGAATTAATCATGCCAACACTAGTGACTAGACAATTTTAGGTGTGTTCTATCTTCTGCGGACAGAGATAATGAAGGTCAAGCAGTCGTATAACCAGACAGATATACATTTAGATATCAATGATGTTCTTTAACATTTAGAAAGTCGAATGAATTAAAAAATGATGCCTTAATACAAAGACAAGCTTATTTACAATTGCTGCTCAACTGTTTAGAAATTGATGCAGAAAAAATATTGCCGCATACTCTTTGATTTGCAGCCTTCATGATTCAATGTTTTAATAGCAACAATAGTTTCTGTGCTTGATTTTTAAAAATAAAATTCAGTCGAATGGCATCAATGATCTCCACTGACATATTTGATCATAAAATTTAGAAGAATTACTCCTCAGGTTAATTGAAACAAAAGCTCAAAATCATCTCTATTTTGTATGTTGGAAAATATTCATATGCTTTACGTCTTACAATGGCACAAATTGTATAACCAGATGTAAAGTGCCCGATGCCCGTGAGTGAATTCAGATTTCTCCACATTACTAATGAAAATTTTACCATAGAAATGGAATTCGTCAAGAAAAGTGTGGAAGGTTTACACTAACTAAATGTTCCGTTTAAATACAAAAAATGGTTCATCTCCTTCTGATATCGGTTTTGGCTCCTTTGTATTCATTTTTGTTCTAATTTGTTCATTGGTTATTTTCTTTATAATATATTTGCGATACAGTTTGTTAAGTTACGCTCATTTTATTTTATTATCATATTATATGTATGTACTGTTGAGGCGACCCAACTACAATAAGAAAAAAACTGAAAGAAGATTAGGATAGCAAAAAGTCTATATTATAAAAAAACCTATTTGTCCCCCATTATATTAATGTGCACCTATATAGTAACGATTTTCAAGCTGTCTCGCAACAAAATAGAGAAGTTTACCTAAACTTTTTGCTGGAATGATTTCTATGGTTTGTCTGTAAAACTGATGATCGCAGCTATATTTGCAGTTTCAACAAAGATTTCCAATTCTCGGAAACTGTTTCGAGACTTTTTCCTGTCTGAATACTTAACATCAGATACTACATGATTCAACAGAAAGCATATATTTATTTCTGCCTGGCTGCGACTTCGTTACAACGCACGGTACAATCAATTTCGTTACAATGCATGGTACAATCAATTTCGTTACAACGATGGTACTATTAAAATGCTATTATCTGTAAAATGTCACTCATTTTTAAAATGAGGCTGTCCCTCACAGCGAACTATAGCTTATTAAGGAAAGTGAAAAATTAGTACTTGGAAGTTTCAAATGTATCTTTCGTTTGTATAAAGAACGTCATAAATCGTTTTCTATGCTTATTTCGGTGACTTGATGCAATAGGTCGACAATCATTCACATGAAAAAGCGTAACTGACCTGTCTTATCGATAAAACAAGCTCATTCTCGCTAGATTTTATTGTTTTGCATCATACAAAGCAGGTTTTCACTTAAGCTATAGTTTTAACTTCATCGAAAATCCAAAAACGTATAAAATAATTAAAAAAATAAAAAATAGAGAACGAGATATGATGATCTCACGACTTCTCTCCGACACAACCCAAGGTCTTTATTATAGAACAAATACAGTCTGATATTTGTTCAAGTCTGATAGATGTATTTGCCAATTTTGGTTTCATGGTTGACGTCATATGCAATAGACCATTTCCAAAAGACCGGTCAGATGGCCTAAGTGATTAGAGCGTCCGCCTCGGATGCGGGAGGTCACAGGTTCAAACTCCGGCCAAATCAAAACAAAGAGTTATTAAAATGGTTTTTAAAAAATTTAAAAAGTTAGTACTAGGAATGGTTGTCCATGTGTCAGGATAATGTCACTCGATGGGACATGATGCCATATGTGTGCGGCATGATTGACAAGTGCTAAACATCAATAACAACAGCCGCATTGCAAATATCGCAGCGATGACTCAAATTGTTAAAACTACGTTACAAATTTAAACACACACATATTAATAAACATTGATTGTAAGGCATGCGACTAAAACTGAACATTCGCAAGTGTTGCCGTGTAATTGCACTATGTTTCCATATCTCAAACACGTAGTCTTCAATTTCTTGTGTATTGTGATTATCACTGGGTGCCATTTCTAAGCTCCAAATGCTTTTGAATACAAATTGTGCTGTCTTTCATAATACGAGTAAGTAAACCTGACAGACAGAGAATGGAGCCGTTTTGACACGGGATCTGAAGAAAAATAATTAATATTCAATAAATAGTGTTTTGACAGGATTTTAGTGCACATTTCCTCTGGAGTTTTATTGAAAGAAAACAATATTGACTATTGTTAATTTTAAAAAAAATATTAATTCATATTTACGCAATCGTAGTTGGTATAGTAGTAGAACCACCTATTTCCCACATTATACAATCTCATTTCCCAGCAATGAAACTTCTTGTCAATTATAGTTTCCTATTGGCCATTTTATAAATAATTTTATTATTTGCAAACTGGGTGAAAAAAATTTTTGTATGAGATATACATTTAGATTAAGAATTAATAGTGTTTATTATGATTTCTGTGATAAAATAAGTAATTAGCGAAAAGACACCAAAGAGGACGCGTTTGAAGTATCGCATGAAACATAAACTCGTGGAAAAAGAAACGTTTTTCTTTTCTTTCACACTTGCAACAGGATAAAACATATCTGAAGGTCTGTACTAAGAATTAACTAACAAGAAATTATGTTCAATTATGCCTAACCCGCTTCACAATCGCCAGTAAATGTCACAATATTACAAGAGACAACAAATGTCACAAACGCCGATAAATGTAAGGCCAACTTGTGGTATTTCTGAAATTTCTTACATTTATGGAACTTAACATGTTTCATAGCAAGTCCATTTCATTATCTTTATATTTTTCTTGTAATCACGATATCTAAAAGATGATTACGAAATAAAAAGAACAATATTGGAATGATGGGTGATATATTTCAAAAGATGCTCAGCCAGATAAAAAAGATGAATATGGTAAAAAAAAAACGTTATTACATTGGAAACAACAACCATCCACAAATCGTTGTATGATGATTGCCATGAATTTGACCAGCTGAAACAGTTTGCACCCAAATCTCGCTGCCCTGACCAACATCTAGAACGAATGCACGTGTGACTGACGCGAAATGATTAGCGCCGGTGGCATCTGCTAGAATGTCATTTACAGCGACACCATCTTTGACTAATTCAAAGTATTGAGCGTGCTGCGGCGAAGACATAGCCGTAACGCTGAAGAAGTAAATTCCATTTACGGGTGCAATAAATATTCCTGTGTTTCCATGGTATGCACTGCCGATATTAGTAACAACGTGATCGAATACGATGGGATGTTGTTGGCCCAGGTTACTAGGCTCCCAAACGGAGACGGTGGCATAGAAAGCAACTTTACCAACTTGATTGTCTTCTGAAAGTTAAAATGCAAGATTAATTCCTTTTATATTCTGTCATAACGCAATGTTTGATTTCATCAATCCAAAACGGAAGATTTATTGTTATGATAGAATATATTTATTACGAAAATAACGAATTTGAGTTTATAGTTTTAACTGTTAAGAATATTCCCGTTTAACCTTAAATTAATATTGCTGTTTTATATGGTGGATAAGCCGAAAAAATAATATTGCCATACTCACTCTTAATTTTGGTTTTCGTCTCTCGCTTTGCATCTAATAGGTATCTTGTGCCAAATATTGATTCATTGTCATTAAGAATTTGCTGCCTGGACTTGTTAGATGGTTCGGTAACTCGAGTCGTTGTTTCATTTCGATGCATCTCTGTATCTCCGTCTCTTATGGCAATATTTGCTTCTTTCCATTTCATTGCTTTTTCCTCAAGCTGTTTATTTTTTTCTGCCTGGATACTGGCCATTCCTCTCAGGTCTGAAATACTTTTTGACATTTCCTTAATACTTACATATCGGTCTTTAAGTTTGGTCTGTTGCTCTTTAAGTAATATTTCAAGAATGTCATTTCTGGCTCTCTGCTGATCCAATTCATTTTGAAGCTTTTGCAGACCTTCTGAAAGGGTCTTTTCCAGGAGGGCGATCCGATATTCCAGGTTTCCGGTTGGAAAGTATCCGGAGTTATTCTTTGGCCAGAACCGCTGAAAGAAATGTTCTCGATTGCTGTCCAGACCGTAAAGTGTGCTTGTTAATAATGCTAAGAGCAGCAAAGGCGTAATATACATCATTTTCACTCTTTCCTATGTGGCTTTTTCTTATCAAATGTAATGCACCATATATATCATTATCTCTGACACGTAATGTACTTGTGACCTCTCTGCCCTTCTGCTCCCTACTTGTATTCATTTCCACTTACAGGAAACAAGTCCGCTGTCGCATCCGAATTATACGTTGGTCAAGAAATAGGTGGGGTGTGAGATGATACAGTTTCAAAGTACACAAACACACATACATACACTCGAATAATTTTGTTACATAAACCCAACCCTACGCCAGAATTTTTAACGATTACCCTAATCCACAAATACTAAACTGTTTCTTAACAAAACCAGACAACCAACTCTCAATTTAAAATAAATGAAAAATTAGTCCACCAAACCTAAATTTGCAGAAAAGCAATTAATCATCGATACTATAATTTTAAAAAAGAACTGAGACCAACACTTTATTTAAAAGGAAGAGGATAAAAGAAAAAAGTCTATTATATAAAATGTGAACTTCGTTAGAAATTAAACAGTATTCGGTGCAAGAATAACTCCTCTTTTCCGATAATTTTTGCCTTTTTCTGTATAGAACACTTTTGTAATTTAGACCAAAAAAAACCAGAGATTAAAATGCACATGTGCAAGATGGTCATGCAAACAGCTAAAAGACGGACTAAGACTTTTATCGCTTGAGAAAGTCAACGAAATATTGTATAAATAAATAATGGACTTCAATAAATATATTTAGTTATAATTTATACGAAGCTACCATTAATCATGATGTCATTTATAAAATATATGTATAGCATGAACGCTGTACCAACGATATGCAAAATGTATACATTTTTTATTTAAAGGAAGCGAAGCTTGTATATCATTGATACAGCGCACATACTATACATATATTTTATTTATATCTCATGCAAATACATATATATATGCCCATTGAACGGAGTTAAGATTTATTACAAGCAATTGTGTATTGACCATGTGAACGCCACTCAACTCATTCCTCACATCCCTGCCGAATGTGTCCGCAACAAATGTAGTTCTGTACCCTTTATGGCTATTCAAAAACATGATAAGTTGACTAGCTCCTTGTTTGAGTTTCTATATTTATTCTAATTGATTAACTCATTATAAGAAACCCTTATGATTTAAACATGAAAACTGGTTTTAATGAAAAAGTAGTGCACTACAAACACTAAACGCTCAACCATTAGTAAAAAGGTGAAATGAGAAACCAACAAGATATAATTAAAATAGTCAATATATTTACAGTCGATCTAAGTCAGTATTCTGCTTTAATTAACAATACTACCGAACTATAAGTGTTTATCTCCGCGACTAGCATAGCAAGATGTGATCTACAATTCATAAAATGACGAGAGTATAGGATTTTCGCTTGTGCCATATGACGATGTCTCTGGAACTATGAATGATGGTAAATGTGAAATCAAACCTACCATAGGAAATGAGAGAGAGAGAGAGAGAGAGAGAGAGAGAGAGAGAGAGAGAGAGAGAGAGAGAGAGAGAGAGAGAGAGAGAGAGAGAGAGAGAGAGATTGAGCTTTGGATATTTTCAAATTTAATTAGTAATAATCGTTTTTAGAACAGTATAATAGATTTAAGAAACAACAACAATAAACATTCAATACCCTATCGTATACTTGCCTTGTAACCCAAAAATTTACCGCATTTTGTAGACATGCTGTAGAAACTTTGTGTCATTGATGATATAAATACTAGGTAAATCTCAAGGATAACGTAAGCATACCGTTACAAAGAATCATATTCTTGTAGGTTACTGGGTCTAAGTTCATTTTCAATGGTTCATCCATCCCAAATTATTTTTCTCTCCCACTCCAGATTTCCGCATATTTTCTCCCTAATGCACAAGAGGAGGGGAAACAGAAAGCAGAAAAGAGTGCGATGAAATTGTGTAAAATATTAAATTCATTAGAAAACGGGGATCAGTATTACGTTTAATGGTTATTTTCCTACGTTAATAATGATTAATGAGTAGATATTCATCATTGACCTACAGTTCTGGAATCAGCAGCACACCGTTTCAAGAATATTTATATATGTGCAATACTTTGCCAAGGGCGAATCACAATTTTATATTCAAATAGTATTGGTGTATCAAATTGCTTTATACCAACACTTAAAAGCGATGTTTGTTTTAATGCATGTGTTATAAATATGTGTGGTTTAGCGATTTTACGATGAAACATATATTAAGTTGTGGATAATGTACTTGTGCTTGAAGATGGGAGGGTGGGTGGTTTAGTGTTTGGAAGGAAAGACTAATTTGATAAGGGACTGGAAAATATGTGTTATATACTAATCACACAAGACAGCTTTATACGACGAGAAGTCTGTCCGTATTAGACGTTATCTGGATATGGTAAAATGAGTTAAAAGCAGATATGTTGTCATGCACTGTTTGTCATCAATTTTGTCTGAAGCTGTGAACATCGATATGCACCTACATATAACACACAATTCTTTCTTTTCACATTTTTAAAAGACGTTCTATATACCTTTTATGACATTATATTGGTAAA